TGTATTGTCTGGGAAAAGGCACAAAAGTGGATTTGCCTTACTTGTTTTTCACTCACCTTTGGACTCATGTGAAACAATCAAGAGAAGAAGTCAGAACTAAGCATCAGAAGATGAGAAATTGGATTCCAATTGGAAGACTCATCTCAGATATTCTGATTGAGAATGGCTTAGTTGGTAATCTAACAGAAGATGGAATGAAAGAAGAATTAGCTTCAGTGGTTGGAAAACCTCTGAATGGTAAAAGTCTTCAGAGGATGAGGGTTGTAGAAGAACTTACTTCTGCACCAAAATAGATCAACTCTGAAGAGGTCAGCAAGAGAAGGATCCATGTAGACGATTTCCCTATGTTATATGCTAATGAACCAAGGGAGATTATTCTGGCCTATATAGCAACTTGTCTAGTAGATGGAACTCCCTTACCAGAACATCTGATTCAGAGAGCAGGCGAACCTGAACACGACTTTTATGGAGACAGACAGAGAAAGAAAAGGAAAGTCACAGAAGAAGGATCTTCTAAGCCAAAGAGGAAAGCTTCTGGCGAGGCAGCTTCTGCAAAACTAAAGAGGGTCAAGAAGCAAAAAGAATCATCTGAAGTGAAGAAAGAAGACGAAGATCTGCAGGCTCAGATTGCTGAACTCAAGGCTAGCAACACAGAGATGAAGTCTTGGATGGTGAAACAAGAGGAGAAAACTGATGAGATTAAGACATGGACGGCAAGACAGAAAGAATCCACATCTGAGATAACGAATCTTCTGAGGATGCTGGCTTCTCGTCCTACTTAGTTTTTCTGTTTAGTTTGTGCACTTGTTTTATCTATCTGTTATGTTTGTCTTGGATTTTGTTTATCAATGAATGGATATTATGTTCTTCTGAATGAATGATTGTTATATTCTTCTGTTTGAATTTATCTATTGATTTATTGTTTTTCTTCTGATATCTCTTTTCTGTCTTCAAGTTTTTCTTGAATGATTTTCTTTTTGATATGACAAAAAGGGGGAGAAAATGGTAATTTTGAAAATGCATATAAACAGTTACCAAAGGCAACTCATACATGATATATTTCAACTAATCATATTTCTTGAGTATTTCAGAGCAAATAATTCTCTTCTGATAAATTCTAAGAATTAACTCTGAACTAAAAGTCTGAGAATCTGCAAGTTTCCTCTGAAGCTGAAAAGAATACAGAAGTTGAAAGGGAAGTATTTTATCTTTTCAAAAGTATTCATTTCAGGGGGAGATTAATATTCTCAGGGGGAGTAATATTTCTTTTCTATGTTAACAAAACTTCTCATAGTTTTTGTCATCATCAAAAAGGGGAAGATTGTTAGAACACAGATTGATGTTCAATATATCTCATTGTTTTGATGATAACATTAATGAAATTTTGTATAGAGAATTTATATACACTAATTTTGTTCAAGTGTTTATTTGTTTCAAATATCAAAATTAATATTATTCTGGAAGCAAGAACGCCTCTGAACACCAAAGAACAAAAAAGCTCTGAGCGTCAGAAGCAACATATCAGAAGACTCTGATCTGCTACAATGACTCTGAGCAAAGCTATGAAGGACTTGAGCAAATGACATACGTAAAGCTTCAGAAGATTCTGAAAGTACTCAACATTGCAAGTACAGAAGTTCTGGTATGCAAGTATGCTCTGATAAGGAGTTCATGCTTAAAGCACTTTGCTGCAAACTCTGATTAAGAAACTCTGTTTGAGTTAACTCTGACCTGAACAACTAAGGACATCATCAGAAGTTCTGATGCAAGGCGTTCCAAAGTTGTTGAAGAAGATGCTGCTCAAATAAAGATATGTTGGTATATTCCTTGTCTTATCCTAAACGGCTCTTTCCCCATTCGTGTTTGACACAAGAATTCAGACAAAAAGGATTTATCAAAACATTCCTCTTCTGAGAAAGGAAAAGTCATTAGAAGACAAAAGGATCAGAACGCACAAATTGCACAGTCTTTGAGAAACGATTTCAAAGGACTATAAAAGAAAGTCCAAGCATCACTTCGAAGGTTAACGAACTACAAACGAATTTGATGGAACAATTGACATATTATTCAACCAGCTCTCACAAATATTCTTAAAGCTAGAATAGCTTTTATTCTTGTTCTATAACTTGTGTAAAAATCATTGTTGTGATATAGCTTTTTAGAAGCATTTCTTAAACACAAAACTGTTAGTTTATCTTTGTAAAAGATTTCCTTAAGAAGACCAAGTTGTGGTCAGAATTTCTTGAGAAGACTAAGACAGTTGTCTTAGTGGTTTTACATTATAATCAAGTTTGATATAGTGGATTAAGTCCTTGTTGAGAAAGGCAAATCACCTTGGTAGGGTGGATGTACTGGATTAGTTTGAGTTCAAACGAACCAGGATAAAAATATTGTGTTATTTTTCTATCTTCAAATTTGTTTAAAAATACTGTATTACTCTGTTCATTATATAACATTATTCAAGTTGTTATATAACGAAGGATTGTCTAATTTATTATACATAAGTTTAAAATGAATTTTTGAAAACTTTTATGACTTTGTAGATAATAATCTCATTAGATTATTTCAGTCTAAAGATTATATGTTTATATAAATTAATTGGTTATAGAAGTTATGTGTGAGAAGGTATCAAATTTTTTTTTTACAAACAAATGTTTATATAAATTAATTGGGTGAATTTATTGACGCATTAGTAACACAAATCATGGGCATAGGTAGTTTATATAAATTAATAATATAAAATAATATAGTTAATTGAAAGGAGATTTATATAAATGAAAAATAACTACTATAACATAGTGATAGTGATGCAACACTAAGAAGACAATATATTTAAACTTATTTATTGTTGCTTTATTAAAAACGGCTAAAATGGTAAAGCTAATAATAATAATTAAATGCTATTGAAGCATCTTTTTACTCTAATTGCTAAAGTATTGAATATAAAGGCTAAAAGAAATTTGAAATCTAAAGGCCCTAGACATAGACCTAGTTTGCCTGCCTCTAGGGTCGGGCCTGCAACTCAAAGTAGTTAATAGTATTCTAATGAAAGACTCTTTTGCATAGAGCATCAATCAGAATTATGTGTAGAGTAAGCTCCCTCAGCATTCTGAAATTTTCTGACATGACATTAAATGTTGTTCTTATCTTTCAATCTTATTTCAAAGCATTAGTCAGAAAACTCAGTTGTCAATCTATTATGTGTAGAGCAAACATCCCTCAGCATGCTGAAGTTTTATGACATGACATTAAATGTTGTTCTTATCTTTCAATTTTATTTTTGAAAAATCCATGGCATATTTTTATGTTTTATTCTATATCTTTTCAAAAGACTTTTATTTGTATAAAATATATTTTATAACTCTTCTAGTTATACATTACTTAGATCCTACCTGGTATAGATTTTCACATGTCATGAATATAGATTTAATAATTCTTCTAGTTATACATTACTTAGATGCTACCTGGTATATCATCATGCAATACCCAATATAATATCATATGTAGCAGACATGACATCTTTGGATTATACTGTGTCCAAGTAACAACACTTTTAGTACAAACTATAAGCATATAGTCATAAAAGTCAGAAGTAGCTCCTTCAGTCCTTTGCATCAGCAATGCCCTCTGGTGTTATCCGTAATACGTAACTCTTGTCAAGAGAAAACACGCAGACAATAATAGTAACTATTTCCTCAATCACAAATTCAATATAATTGATTTCAATGACCATGATGATAATGTCGGGCATCTGGAATTATCTGAAGGTAATTTCATGTTGTTTTCTTATAAAAGCAATATGCAATAAGCAAGATTGCTGACAAAATATTATGCAATTAGCAATATGCCTAAGCAGACTTCATATAAAAGCCACTACAAAAATCAAATGATATAAAAAAGCTTTAAGATTCTAATCACTTAGGGCTTAAGAGTAAAATATCGACGGAAGCGATTCATTCCTTATAAGAACAATATACCTTAATTTGTCATATAGACTGCAACATTGAATTCCTCAACAATCTTAATCAAGCGAGAAAGCATCTGTGCCAATTTTTGCTACAAAAAGTTCCTCATTTCTGCAAAAATAGACATGGAGGGATAAAAAATTTGTTAGTAAATGTATATGACAGACTCACAGACCTATCCTTCATCAAGCTCTCCTCTTATAGTGAAGTCCACCCGGAAAAAAAAAATCACATAATCCACAATCTGCAAAAAAAAACGATCAACTCTTCGCATCACATGATATTGCAACACAAGATAACTCTATTTCACTCCATTAGTAACATCTCACCAGAAATCTAAATGGTTCTTCAGCCATTTTTGCAGCCAAACCAAGGATAAGGTTATAGTGATGTCGTAAGTGCAGGCACGAGCATAGATGATCTTAATATCTTATGCAGTCACAAAAATAAATTCATTAGCAGTTAGCACCAAAACATTCACAACCATTAGGATCCATTTATGTACCATATATTTTTAATATGAAGAAAAGGAAACATACATTGTCCAATACAACCCCTGGATCCATTCCAAATCTCTCAGCTATGGATACAATCCGATTAGTTTGACTACAGTGTGAATGAGCATAAACCTTAGGTAAGTAAATATCAATTGAAAAGACAGTCATAAGTTATTGTAAGCAACTTTTTTGTTGCGTCCTTTCATATTAGTTGACACCTGTAGTATACAACAAATATTTCAATGTGGGGGAAGATAAGGCTAATATGCATTAAATATTGTGTGTTTGAGAAGCTATGAATACATATAATAAAAGATACAATACAAACACTAAATTTAGAAAAAACATCGGAGTAGAGCAGATTAACACTTCAAATGACAGGTTCAAATACTCATATGCTATGATAAACCACACTGCAAAATAATAAAAACTCACCATGTAATTATTGTGATTCCAAACATGCCCTAACTTTAGGTTAACTTCTAAAATGAAAAAAAAAATATTAATTTTCAAAATTGAAAATTAATTCTGAAGCAAACTATTGATGAGGTAAGAATGAATTAGAGTAAAGAATTGATATACCTGCAAGATCTTGTTGAGCATAGAGTGATTTATGCATCTCAACAAGTTGTTCACAAATTGTTGCATAAACAACAATTTGTTTCCTGATAGTTTCCAATTGTTCATCAGTCATGACTTTGACGTACATCGCAACGACATTCCCGTTTTGAACTTGTTTATGCCATTCCATCATATTCACCATAACATAGATTACAAAACTCTTTGGATTTTGATCGAAAGAGTATGTGTGAAACAAAAGTTAGTAGAGTTTTGAAAATAGTGTGAGAAAAAGACAAAAGAGAGAAACAATATTATTGAAGAAAATGAAGCATCATCAATCTCAAACCTTCAAAATCTCCAACAAATTCCATCAAACATCAAAAACTTCATCTCCATTTTTTCAACCATAACCTCAACAATAAACAATAATTAAAAACCGGTAAAAAGAAAAACAAAAGAAAGTAGAACAAATGCAAACTAATCGCAACAACAATCGCAACTTTCAAGCAACACAAATATAGAAATAGAACAACAAAAAAACCACAAAATAAAGAGGGAAAAAATTAAATCTATAACAGTAAGTTCCAATTGTAGCAGAAAAATAAATACCAATGGTTCCTCAATGCAGATCTGAGCAGGAAACAAAAGAAGAGAAAACAAAAAATCAAAATATAGAAACGTTAGAAGCAGATCTATGCAAAATAAAAAAAATATCTAATCACGTCAAATGATTCAAGATCGAAGGTTAAAAAAACTTCAAGATTTCGAAAAAAAGGATGACTTTGATTATTTTTTTGGCTTTCGGTTAGGGATGCGAAAGTGATATTGTTGATAACAGATCTAGTTTTTTTTTGGAAGATCATCATTACGATTTCTATAAAGGAAAACATAAAGAAGGAAGAAGAGGAGAAAGAAGGAAGACGAAGAGAAAGAAGGAAGAAGATGAAAAAGGAAGAAAGACAGAAATGAAAGAGAGAAGGCTAGAGAAAGGAAAAAAGAGTCGGATTGCAAGTTTACACATTGAAAAAAGAGAAAAAGTAAGACATGTAGAAAATTTTAGTTAGAATTTAACTAATTAAATGGAAAGTATTAAAAAAGGTGTGTGATGAGAAACAAAATAGTAACATTGCCATCCAAATTGATTAACTATATTAGTTTGGTTGAAAAAAGTAATATTTGGACCAAAATTATCCTTATTTTGGTGATGTGGCAGAATTAGAAGGAATGGTAAAAAAGTGTTTTTGATAACATCTAATTTTCTTATCACATGAAAATTTTTGGAGAATTTAAAAATGCAAGAAAGTATTTTTAAACAAATTAAAATGTATGAAAAATGAAGAAAATAATGAAAAATAGAAAATTATAAAATAAAAATATAGAAAAATGCTTAGAAAATAGAAAATATTTTTAGAAAATTATGAAAAAAAATTGGAATGAAAAATGTAATCGGAGCTATTTTTATGAATTTGTCAAAATAAAATGGAAAAAGAAAAACAATTAAAATAAAAATAAAAGCTCGAAAAAACAAGAGCCATTAGATCTAATCAATGGCTAAGAAAAAAAACGCTCGTAATCATCAGATCTCTTTAAAAAAGATCTTAAGGTCCAAAACATGTGAATCACAGTGCACCTTAAATAAAACAATTTTTTTAATATTCAAGAATAATATAATAAAAATATTGCAACGGAGATATCAAGTATAATTGGGATGGCAGGACAAAATTTGCTAAAAGACATATAGAGTCAATTTAGTGTTTATGCTTCTCCAAATATGTTCACTTATCTTTAATTTTTGGCTAACAATATTGTGAGCTCACTACAACACTCAAAATTTTATCTGTAATACATAACTCTTGTCCAGAAAAAACACGCAGACAATAATAGTAATTATTTCCTCAATCACAAATGCACTATAATTGGTTTCAATGACCATGATGATAATGTTGAGCATCTGGAATCATCTGAAGGTAATTTCAAGTTGTTTTCTTATAAAAACAATATGCAATAAGCAAGACTGTTGACAAAATATTATGCAATAAGCAATATGCCTAAGAAGACTTCATATAAAAGCCACTACAAAAAGTAAATGATATAAAAAAAGCTTTAAGATTCTAATCACTTAGAGCTTAAAAGTAAAATATCGACAGAAGCAATTCATTCCTTATAAGAAGAATATACCTTAATTTGTCATATAGACTGCAATATTGAATTCCTCCACAATCTTAATCAAGCAAGAAAGCATTTGTGCCAATTTTTGGTACAAAAAGTTCCTCATTTCTGCAAAAATAGACACGGAGGAAAAAAAATTGTTAGTACATGTATATAACAGACTCACATACCTGTCCTTTAGCAAGCTCTCCTCTTCTAGTGAAGTCCACCCGAAAAAGAGCAATCACAAAATCCCCAATCTGCAAAAAAAAAATGAACAACTCTTCGCATCACATGATATTGCAACACAAGATAACTCTATTTCACTCCATTATGATCTTATGCGGTCACAAAAATAAATTCATTAGCAGTCAGCACCAAAACATTCACAACCATTAGGATCCAATTATGATCCATATATTTTTAATATGAAAAAAGGGAAACATACATTGTCCAATACAACCCCTGAATCCATTCCAAATCTCTCACCTATGGCAACAATCTGATTAGTTTGACTATAGTGTGAATGAGCATAAAACTTAGGTAAGTGAATATCAATTGAAAAGACAGTCATAATTTATTGTAAACAACTTTTTTGTTGCATCCCTTCATATTAGTTGACACCTTTAGTATACAACAAATATTTCAATGTGGGTGAAGATAAGGCTAATACACATAAAATATTATGTGTTTGAGAAGTTATGAATGCATATAATAAAAGATACAATACAAATGCTAATAAGAGATACAATACAAACACTAAATTTAGAAAAAACACCGGGGTAGAGCAGATTAACACTTCAAATGGCATGTTCAAATACTCATATGCTATGATAAACTACACTGCAAAATTAAAAAAAAAACCCACTATGTAATTACTGTGATTCCAAACATCCCTTAACTTTAGGTTAACTTCTAAAATGAAAAAAAAATTCATTCTCAATATTAAAAATTAATTTTGAAGCAAACTATTTATGAGGTAAGAATGAATTAGGATAAAGAATTGATATACCTGCAAGATCTTATTGAGCATATAGTGACTTATGCATCTGAACAAGTTGTTCAGAAATTATTGCATAAACAACAATTTGTTTCCTGAGAGTTTCCAATTGTCCATCAATTATGACTTTGACGTACATCGCAACTATTAGAATATTAATAGTAATTCATATTCATTTAGTTGTACTATTTTCTTAGCCCCTAAGTTTGTTAGAGGGTATTTTAGTATTTTATCTTATTCTAGTAACCCTAGTTTTAGCTTATAAATAGGGTGACAATCATTGTAACTATTATCATGTTTTTGTAGCCGTCATTCTTAATAGAATATTTCCTCTGTTCATCATTTATTCACCTTTGCACCAACAATTGGTATCAGAGCTCCGGTTCGGATTCATTGGGAAACACGGGAAACACGAGTGAACGTGAGGTCTTGTGTGTTTGATTTTGATTCTTAGATTCGTGTTGAATCTTGAACAAAATCTGATCAGAATTTTATTCTGTGGGTTAGGAAACACTGTGTGAGAAATCTGAGTGTATTGTGCAAGGTGAAGATGAACGGAAACGGCAACATGAACACCAAGCTTCCAGTATTTGACGGTAAAAACTAGAATCGTTGGATGATCCAAATGCGTGTACTGTTTGGTGCTCAAGATGTTTTAGATCTTGTCACTGATGGTTATGTTCCGGTAGCAGCAGATGCAACGGATGAACAGAAAAACGCGCAGAAGGAAGTAAGGAAGAAGGATCAGAAAGCATTATTCTTTATTCATCAATGTGTTGATGTAAATGTGTTTGAGAAGATTGCAGATTCAACGACAGCAAAGGCTGCGTGGGACACACTGGTTAGATGTTATGGTGGTGACGCATCAGTGAAGAAGGTGAAACTTCAGTCCTTGAGAAGCAATATGAGAATCTCAACATGAAGAATAATGAGAAAGTTTCTGAATACATCTCCAGAGTGATTCTGATCACTAATGAGATGAAGGCGTGTGGAGAAACTCTTTCTGAAGAAACAATCATGGAGAAGGTATTGAGATCCCTTACCTCTTAATTTGATTACATTGTGGTAGCAATAGAACATTCCAAAGATCTGAGTACCATGAGAATTGAAGAGTTGTAGAGCAGTTTAGAAGCGCAAGAGTTGCGTTTGACTGAGAGAACTTCTAAAAGGAAAGTAGAGCAGCAGGCTCTGAAAGCAACTTCTGATAGGAGGTATCAGAAGCAGTCAGAAGCCAAGAGAAGATCTGATGGTGGTCAGAAGTCAGAAAGCTCAATCTCTGATAGGCAAAAGAATGCTCAGAAGGGAAAAGAGAAGTATGACAAGAAGAAGATCCAATGTTACTGTTGTAAGAAGTTTGGTCACTTTGCTAGAGATTGTTGGTCAAACAAGGAGAAGAAATCAGAAGAAACAAATATAGCCAGAAGTTCTGATGATGAATCTGTGCTATTGATGGCCTCTGAATCTGATGATATGGATCTAACAGACTGGTGGTATATGGACACTGGCTGTTCAAATCATCTTACTGGAAACAAGAAATGGCTGGTTGACTTTGACTCTGAAAAGAGGACAAAGATCAGATGTGCTGATGACAAATATCTTAATGCAGAAGGTATGAGAAATGTCAGAGTGACTCTGAACAATGGGAAAACAGCATTGATTCAGAACGTGTGGTATGTACCTGGCATCAGAAGAAATCTGATGAGTGTGGGACAATTAATTGAGAAAGGTTTTTCAGTTACCATGAAGGACAATCTTCTGAAGCTGTATGACTATAATTAGAAGTTAATTATGGAGTCAGAACAGGGAAGGAATAGAAAATTCAAGGTGAATGTCAGAACTGCAGACTCAGAATGTCTTAGTGCAACATGTGCTGAGAAGGAGAGTGAGCTGTGGCACAGAAGATTTGGTCATTTGAATTTCAGAAGCCTAAAACATCTGAATTCAAAGAAGCTGGTACATGGAATTCTTGCAATTAAGAAGCCTGAAAAGTCATGCAAAGTTTGCATGGAAGGAAAACAACCACGTTTGCCATTTGCGTCAGAAGTTGCTCCAAG